GAGGCTGAGAGCAGGGGTGTCGCAGCCCCCGCCCCTCCCCCCGGCCCGGGAGCCGTCACCCGCCGTCGGCCCTCCCGCCGCTGCGGTGTCCCTAACTGCTTCCGCAGGATGGAGGCCAGGAGCCGGCCGGGCTTCCACGCAGCCCCCGCGGGCAGGGCCCGGGCACCACCCAGGGCCACCACTGGGTCCTGGGTGTGGAGACATGCAGCCTCCCAAGAGCCACCTTTGCCCCAGCTCTGGTTACCACTGATCAGGAAGATGGGCCCTTCCCCCACCGAGTGTGGCCTGCCAGCTTCCAGACCCTTCTACAGCTACGCTTACTAGACTCATCTCCGACTCAGCCTCTCCCCTCACCCCCTTGCCCGTCTTCCTCTGGCTGGCCACCTGATCTGCCCCTTCGGCCAGGTTCTCCTGATAGCCGTCCTCCCTACAGGTGGAGATGAATGAGCTCCTGCATTCAGATCGACTGTTCACTCACACAGTAGTTTCTCGAGCCCCGTTTTACGACAGGCACCGGGCTGGGCACTGCCCGAACCTAAGGGAAACGACCCAGCCCTCCCTCGAGTTGCTCCTTGGCCAGGGACTTTCACCAGCAGGGCTTCCCCGGTCTGAGCAGGACACTCTCGAGGGAGCCAGAGTCCTCCCACCCTGAGGGTCCCTCCTCGTCCACCTCACGGCCCACTCCCCAGGGACTCACTGAGGGGCCAAACCTCCCCTCCCTACTGCCTTTGAGTCCCGCCAGGAGAGACGGCTGGCCTACGGGCGGCAGGGACTGGGCCAGCACGGAGCTGCGCGCCGCTGGGCCTGAAGAGCTGCAGGGTGCTAAGTCACAATGGTGACACTTTCTGAGCTCTTCCTGACAGCCAGCCTCTGCGCTGAGTGCTGTCCATCAGTCACCTGGTTTGATCTCAGGACTAGCCTGGCTTTAAGGACGGGTGTGGAGGCTGAGGCCCCGACATCCCTGATGACACACAGGCAGCAGAGCCGGTGTCAGAGCCCAGGTCCCGTTCCCAAGCAGGTGGCAGGACTGGGATGGGACCCTGGGCGGGATGTGGTTGGTGCTCCCGGTGACAGGCACCCCCTCCGTCTCTGTCAGCAGCTGTCAGCACGACTTCGTAGCCTTTAGCTTTCCAGAACCTCCACGCCACTCCAACATGTTCTTTGAGCCTCTTGCTCTGGACAAAGCTAAAAAGACCATTCCTGTCCTCGGTCTGACGGGGAGGCTGCCCTGAATGAACCCCAAGGGATCTGATGGGAGAGGCCCTGAGAACAGAGGGAGGAGGAGAGAAAACCCCCTGGACTCTCCAGGGCCTTGAACGGCCATGTGTCTCTGCCCCCAGCACCCCACCCAGAGTGGGGCACAGCCCTGCCCCTCCCTGGCTACCGGACAGGAAACGTGTGAAAACAAAAGTGTCCCAGACAAACCACGCTTTTTACTGCCCTCCGGGCCACGCCTTGGGCATTGCTCGGAGGCCTTTGGCTTTCCTAGTCCACCTGGGGCTGGAGGGGAGCGCCCTCACCCACCAGAAGGGGTTCCTCAGAGGCCACGGTGGGGCCAGCCAAAGTCAGAGCCGAGGGCCTGCAGGAGCTGCGACAGCCCCTCTTCTGATCCCCTCTAGAGTCTCCCCCGGCGGCTGGGGGGATGTCTGGTGGCGGCTCCATCCTAGGTCACGTCACACGGACAGGGCCTGGCTGGCAGGGAGAGACGCTCTGGTGTGGTACCCTGAATGTCACTAGACACTGAGTCACAGAGGCCGGGCGAGGCCCCACCTGGGGAGTTCAGCCTTTGCCCCCCACTGCTGATGACGCCCAGAAAGAGCCCGAACCTTCCCAAAGTCTCTCCCCCCTCCCAGCCCTCAGGACGAGGCGCTGAGACGGAGGCAGCTGCTCCATCCATCGCTCCTGCGAGGGGCTGCAGGTGGGAGGTAGAACCTTACTCTGGGGTCTGTGCTCCCCAGAGTGCTGCTCCTTCCTCAGCTGAGTTCTGGCTTCTTCCTGGGAAGCTGCAGACCTAACAGTAGCCACAGAGCTCAGTAACCACAGACTGCAGCCCGTGGAATCCCAGCAGCTGGGGGGAGACAGAGCTCACATCCACAGGACGCGGAGCTGCAGGCCACAGAAACGCAGGCCACAGAAGCCCTCCCAGAACCACCAGACCTAACGGCACAGCCCAGGCAATCCCGGCAGCAGAGGACCTGAAGCCTCAGCCCGTGGAGGCTGCAGAGGCCACAGCACGTCACACACACAGCGCTGGAGCCACGGGAGGCCCACGCCGCCCACGGTTTTCTAGAAGCACAGGAGGGGGCCGAGCGCCGGAGGGCGGCCCTGGAGTTCACCTCGTCCCCACAGCAGAGGCAGACGGACAGACGGGGGCCGCTGAGGCC